ACGTAATACACAGGGGGAATCCTCCACAGGACAGGAGTGTAGGTGGTGGGAGGGCAAAGTCTACACATTCATCACTCCCAGCCTCTGCAGTGAGTAGACGGGAGTCTTCGCCGCCCTGCCTGGGCTGTCTTGCCTGGCGTCTGTACTCAACTCTTCCTTTGCATTGAGTTGTCCTTTTATGCCTTGGACTGGATACTGGGAACTCTGGCTTCCTCTACCATTCTCATCTAATTTCCCGACTTTGCATTAGGTATCGATAGATCTAGCTTTTCCACTTTTAGTTCCTGAAATGGTCCCCCTGCTTACCTGGGAGGAGAGGGCAGACGAGGAAATCTCAGCTGTCAGCAATCATAGATGTGATCTGGCACTCTCAGGCCCAGGGCAAAAGAAACTTGTTCAGGGTCAGTGAGTGAGGTAAGGATAGATTCAGGGTCATGGCCCAAGCTTCTTTTTTTCATGAAAGCAACTCTAGAAAACACATTTAAGTGAAAAATAGAGAGTGTCCACCCAAATAAGTCCACCATTTACATTTGAAACTCACACCTTTGGATTTCTAGTTTAGTGGGGAGGCAATACAGCAAATTGGTAGAGAGAATGGGCTGAGCCTGGCAGATAGGAGCCACATGTCCCTGGAAATGTTGCCTAAACTAAGCTACAGTTATCATTTATAAAATAATGGTATTGTTAAGGAAAGTTATGGCACTGTCTCTTATGCAGTATTTTAAAAATGTTGATAAGTGCTCAATGAATAATAACTTTTAGTAACATCGTGGGTCATCTCACACTACCTTGCTGCCTGTCCAGCTCTTTTCCTGATCTATCTCCTTAGGCAATTTTCTCAATTCCAGACTTCAGGGGTGCTATCCACTAATTTGGGGAATGCCCTAAAACAGTCAACACCTAGGAGTCAGTACTGAGCAATTTGGGTAGGAAGCGTGGGGAAGATAGAAGATAAAGTGTGTCCCGAGCACAGATTAAGCATCGTGTTGGACCATCGCAGTTCAATCATGTCTATTCTCCCTTTCTAGTGACAGAACCCTCACTCCTTTTTCCTTTGGGAACATCTTCACCCACTCTAGGTGATTTGAATGGTGCTGTCAATTACATTTCCTGATTACCTGGCCCTGCCTCTTCTAAACCATCCAGGTTTAGTCAAACAGAGTATCCCAACTCAGGAGTCCATATGGTCAAGTGATCTCAGGAGAGTCCAGTGGATTTCTTTTGGAGCTCCTTTTGTCTTTGGAGGCAAGGTGGTAAAAGTATGTGCACAGATATTTACCCACAGGAATAGAGAATGAAATCAACACCACGAGAAGCAGACACAGGCAGAGATGACCCTGAAAGTATCAATTCCCAAGTTCTAGCCCAGAAGTCCTGGTCCTTGAAGAACTATTTTTCTTTTCCTCTTTTGATACCAGGGATTGAATACAGGGGCTCCTAAGCACTGAGCCACATCCCTAGCCCCTTTTTACATTTTATTTAGACAAGTTCTTACTAAGTTGCTTAGGGCCTTGCTAAATTGCTGAGACTGGTGTTGAACTTGTGATCCTCTTGCCTCAGCCTCCCAAGGTGTTGGGATTACAGGCATCCTCCTCTGTGTCCAGGCCTGTCAGTGTATACTTCTGTATAGTTCACCCAGTGCAGTTCTCAGTCATGGGAACCACATAAATGTCCTTTAAAACAACTTTTTTTTTTTTTTTTTTGCCTAAATTGAGTTGTAAGGCTGCTAATTTTTTAAGTCAGAGTCTTGACTAATACAAATACTTTGTTTTAAAGGAGGGACGTGATTGTGTAATCCTTTGTGATACTGTCCATTCTGCCTCTGATGAGAAGGAATATTATCCCCAAGTGGAAAATACTCCCAGCACGCTGACCAAGATCAAGGGAACCCTGATACCGTTGGGCTAGGGCTTGATGATTTCTTTGGACTCTCTGGAGTTGCATTCTGTCATAATGATTGCTGATAGGATGTGCAGTGTTCACTCCATCAAGCAGAATTTGAATCTCTCAAGTCTTTGGAGTTATTTGAAGGAGCTGTGGTCCTTTCATCTCATCTGCTTTCCTTAGAGTTTGTTCTATTTCCTTTCATCTCCAGCTCAGCACTCTGAAAAGGTGTAATGGCATGAGATCTAGAGTCTGGGTGTGTATGAAGTATAGGGGCATGATCTGAGCAATCAGAATTAATCATATGACACCTGTGTGCTACTCCCTTTATCACTGCAGTTAAAACAACAACAACAAAACAGG